TAAAGTCAGGGAGATGGGTATTCCAGGCTTTGTAATTGAGAGCCATGCATTAAAGCCTATGATCTTGAGTACCAGCACAGAAGGCGTCATGCTGGGGTTGCCATGCCCTGCATTAAACTGACCTTCAGGCCGATATGAAGGACATAAAATGAATGCTGTATGTTATTCAGGGTCCTTATCATGGCACACTAGCAATCCTATAGATAGGACATCTGCCCCATCACACCAGGGGACTCTGGCTCAAAACCCAGTCAGGACACTATCCACAGGAAGCCTGCATGCTCCTCTGGTGTTTGTGTGGGTTTTCTTCTGGCCACCCCAGCCTCCTCCCGTACTCCAAAGCCATGCTTGGCTACACCATCACAATATGTGCAAGGGCTGCAATGGCCACCATGCACACACATTTAAATCCTCCAGGATCAAGCAACAGAGCCACCACAAACCCATCATGTCCAACACACACACACACACACACACACACACTGCCCAGCAAGGGGGAATCCATACAGCCAACAGAGACTGACAGGAGCTAACCTGCTTGTCAGTGGACCCAGTTACAGGCTGAACAGAAGCACGAGACATACAGAGAATGCACTGCTCCAATCACACACAGAACACAGGGAAGCAGGGGGAGAAAGGTACCCAAAAGCTACTCAGAGGGGAAAGGGGTCAATACACACTTGCCGCATCTCGAGGAAGGGGGTACTTCCCGTGACAGATTACCTTTCCGCCGGAATGGGGGTGCTGTCTGCCTTGAGGGATACTGTGATAGAGCAACAAGTCACTGTCATATGTGCCTCTGGTGAGGAACACTCACAGCCTGCCCTAAGATCCAGGATAGGGCTTTTTGCAGCCGACCACGGGTGTAGCTAAGGATCTGCATGCGCTTGGTGGCCGTGCTAGGGAGACTACAAGGATCTATATTATTCAGCCTGTCACACAGCTCAACTGTTGATTAAAGTTCCTGAAGACTGAAGAAATAAATAAAACACCCTGCAAAAAGAAAAGGAACTAAGATTTCCAGCAGGGAGCTTAGGTCCCTACTCCTTGACACTAGGTGAAAAACTGAGCTGAAATGCACACAGTTGGTACTCTGTCAGCACCCTTTTGACCGGCATCCCTTGATCAGCTGATTGAAGGAGCCAGTCAGTAAATCTTGGGCGAACAGAGCCGGCAACCAAATAAGCTACTGGCTCTGTTGGGGTATTCCGACAGCAATTTGGCAGTCAGAATACAAAAACATTGGGGATCACTCGATCAATGCGCTCGTAGAATTTGCTCTATTTTTTTCGGTTCACAGCCTGCGGGTTGACGGAAAAAAACTAGAGCATTGTAGGGCTGCCTATAGCTGTTAAGGGGTTTGGCCACCATCAGGGGCTGCCCCTAGGCTGTGCTTTGTTTTTTCGCCTAGTGTCCCACTCCTGAACATGCCGCTATAACCCAAACGTGAGAGATTCAAATCCCAGCTGTGTCCTTCAATGAAGAGAAGGGAATACAATTCCAGTACTCCTTTCCCTGTTTCCTAGCTGTGCTAGTTTCCATAAACAAGAATAATCTTCTGATTAAATAAAAATCTGTTGCCCCTATCAGCACAATATATAAGAAAACTCAGAGTAATTGCTTGGGAAAGTGCATCCCAGGTGTTCAACTCTTCCCTGAGGAGCATCTTAAAATGATGATCAGCCAAGCTAACTGATGATCATTAGATGTGTTAGGGTACCTTAAATTAAAAGCACAACTACATGCATTTACAGTTATTACTTCGTCTTTCTATCAGTCGCTTGTAATCCCTTGTACAGCAGGAATAGGTAAAAGGGACAGCATTCTAAGCCAGTCATGCTCTACAGCATGGTACTGTGTTCTCAAGCTACCAGATTAATCAGTAGCTATACATTTACTATAGAATCACAAGCTACAGCAAGTCCTGGACCCAGCTGTATTGCTATGAAGCGTTCTGTAATAGTCATAGAAGTTCCCACTTTTTTGGACATCAATGGAAAATGTGAAATCTGACTGGTATTAAACACAATATATCCAACAATAAAATGTGTGATTACATAAATAATCCCCCCATAGAACACACACTAAAACCGCTTACATGCCATACCGAATGGGTCTTATTGGTGATGCATAAAATCTCCATACAGGTGCATCAGAATGATGCAACTCCAGGAAAAGAACACAGGCGAGAGTATTTGTGGTACCAGCTGTATTAAAACTCTCAGCATCAAATCCAAGTGACAAATATGCCATCAGTTCCCATCTAGAGGGAAGGATATATACTGGTCTACTGCGGTGAGATGGGGAACCTATGAGGAGATACTGGGGCTCACATAGAGGTGCATGGACATGTGTCTGTATTGGCAGATATTCTGGTCCTGTACATGCAGTCCCAGTGCCTTATGCATCTTAGAGTGTTTCCACACAAAATCACCCTGTTACACACTGATAAAAGTTGATAGTCCTTCAAGTTATAACAGGAATAAGGCCCCAGAGGTGTATATGACACTTTTATACAGCAGATACCATGATTGGAGTGAGTGTCCATATGGAGATTTTCTATATCACCAATGAGACCCATTCAATATTACATATAAGAGGTTTTAGTGTTTGTTATATGGGGGGATTATTTATGTATTCACTTAGATTTTATTGTTGGATATATTCAGGGCTTGAAAAATCCACTCGTCTGTGACGAGAGGACGGCGGAGCCCGACGATCAGCTTCCTGGCCGGCCGTTGTAATTACACAGCCGGTCGGGAGCTTTACAGTCAATCGATGGAACGTCTTGAGAGACACTCAATCGCTTGTATCAGCAGCTGTCACTGCCTTTGCCGGTCCCGAGATCCGCTGTGCCCGATGCGGCCGGGACCGGCACGGCTCTGTGACAGGAGATCAAAAAGGGAGTTCAGTACACTAGCTCCCTTTGATCTCCTCTCAGTCCCCGAATGCAGGAAGTGATGTATATTACATAACTTCCTGCATTAGCATAAAAAAATGTTTAACATTTTTTTTTAAGTCCCCGCCCCCCACATACACACGCACTTGCCGCACATGTTGCATATCGCCTCAAACGTCGGTGAGAGAGCAATAATTTTAGAGCCATTAAGGCCGGGTTCACACCGGGCGTTTTACAGCGCTGATCGACGCGCTGTAAAACGCCCTGCAAGTGAAATCCCATTATTTCCTATGGACATGGTTCTCACCTGGGCATATTTCAGCGTGTAGGAACGTGCTGAAAACGCCCTACGCCCAAAGAAGTACAGGAGCTTCTTTGGGGCATATTCCCACGCATATCCATTAGGATACAGCCCGATAGCCCTCGTAAACGATTTGTGGGCTGCAAATCGCGGTTAAAACATGCACCGCAAAACACGCATCATACACGCATATTTCGAACGCCTAGGTGGGAACCCAGCCTAAAAGGAGAACTATGAGATGAGTGCTTTTCACTCACCTCATAGTTCTAGCCGACCTGTGACAATGAAACTGTCACAGGTCGGCTCAGTAGATCGGGAAGTGAGCGAACACATACAGGCGTTCGCTCACCTCTCGATCCTGTCACGGCACAGAGCCGTGACAGGGGAGGGGCTGGATTCCCCCCTCCGATCCGCCAGCGCTGCCTGGCGGAACGGACGGGGGAGGGGGCAGGTACAGCTGGCTCTGCCTCCACATAGGCAGAGCCAGCTGTCACTCACGCAGCTGGGCGGATCCAGACATAATTGTCGGGATCCGCTTCAGCAGCGGCGTCTCAGTATACTGAGCTAAGGGTGACGGGGGAACGCTAATTTGTGTCCTCCCGTTACCCTAATGAGAAATATGGGGAAAATCCCTAACCCCATACTTCTCCTTTAATCACTGATAACACTAAACTGATGAACAGTAAACGCGTTTTAATCGTCGCCTATGGGCGTCTTTTGCGATTTTGCAGGCGCACGCAATTTGTTGAAACTTATATACCTCCAAAAGAAAGCTCTAGCTGTCCCCAAAATTTTTTGACATAAATTGCAAGTGCTATAGTCCGGTCATGCTGACTGGTGAAATGTTTGACTGACTGGTGACACACGATCAAATTTTTCCAGCCCTGGTTATATTGTATTTAATAAAAGTCAGATTTCACATTTTCCATTGATGTTCCAAAAAAGTGGGAACTTCTATGATTACACAGATTTTGAAGTGACACTTTAGAACTGTGATTGGCCGCGTTATGCAGCGATTACATATTCGGATTTGGTTGAAAATACAGCTTTGAAATCGGATTCCACCTTCCCTTGTTTTGAGAAGACCGAATGCTATGAAGCTACCATAAACGCTAGCCTATCCTTCAGTATTGCAGTTGTACAGGCTCCTCTCTTGTACTGAAATTGCTTACTCCGATTTCACCAAGCATTAGAAGCTGCAGCAATTTACTAGCTTTCAACAGTAGTTTGCCTGTAGTTCAGATTCCGAGTCTAGAAAATTAATTGGGTGGAAGGGTTTAGTAATTATAGAAGCTCTATTTATCTATCTATGTAGAGAATGCTTTAATAGGTTTCAACTGCTGCTCAACTGGCAGAGAAATTAAGGTTTGGATGACATTTATAATATGTCCAGAAAATATCAAAATAAAACTTAACAAAAGTTTTGACTGTTTCAATAAATATATGAATACCCCTATGCATAATCATGACAATTTGTGTGCAAAATGGACTAAAGATGCAGACCATCTCTGCTTCAGAGACTTTATTGGAAGGCCACAGGATTATTCCTCATCACAGACTAGAACATGGTTGACTAGTGTGCAACAAAAATTGCTAGGCAACATTTCTAATCAGGAAGCACTATCTGAGCTTTCAGGCAACAATGGGTTATGAGTGTCAAACTTGCTCCAAAAACATTCCGGATCACATGGCTAAACAGTTGCTTTGCTTTATAGACCTTAAACGAGACAAGCAAAATATACTAAAGAATTGTCGAGATGTAGTTGGTTAACATTGGTTTAATGGAGTTTTTTTTTCCCCTTTAGCTGGGATGCAAGCCATGTAGTTGAAATCCCATGTTACTGTACTGGTAATCATCCAGGTGATTATACAACGTGTCCACGTGTTACAATTGTTAACCGTCTCCATCAGAGAGCATATCCAACTTCTTCGTTAAGCTAGTGATACCACTGGGTAGACAAACACAAAGGCTCTCGGTTGATGACGCAGTGTAGAGGTAACTCTAAGATAGCTATACAAAGTCCAATGCTTCACAAAAAAATAACGTTGGTCATGCAGAGATCTCTGAAACAGAATGTGAAACCCTGTTATGGCACATCAGTCACTACTTAAGTCTTGAGTGGGGAAAAGGGAGCAAGAAAACGGTCAAAACAGACTAGCCAACGATTAATTAAAATGGCATGGTCTTTCTAAACTGCAGACGAAAATATCCTTTATAAACACACAGTTTCCGATGCTTGGGAGAACAACAGTGTAATAAAAAACAAAATACTGCATGCAAATGAACTTTAACCTTCCTAAAATCAACTGTGGCCGAGTGTTGTCAATTACGCACCTGCAAAACATTCTTAAACTCAGCTGAAGCAGATTTTACCAGCAACTGATAGCAAACCAGTTTCTTGCAACCTTAACACAACATAAATGAATCCACCGACTGCCAGCAAAACCTTGGCTGCACTTGGTCACAGCCATTGTGGCAGCAAAAAAAGGCTAAAGCAGAGTCCAGCATTACCAGGACAAATGAAGTTAAAAACATTTGCACTCCTTTGTGGTGAGTTGCGGGCAAGGCGATCTAGTTATAAAAAAAAAAAAAAAACAGGATTTGGGGAGAGGGGAAACTATGTCAACACCACCTGTTCTCCAAACGAGTTTCAGCACAGCATAAATAAAATCTGGAAGAAATAAATAGAATTTTGGCTCCTATGAGATCCGAACAGAAGTGGGATGTATTCAGGAAAAAAAGGCTGCGATACCCCCCAGCCACAATACAGGGTGATCCTGTGCTGTAATGGGGAGGACAAAACTGAGACGTGAACTGGAAAGTTGATGAAAAGGATTTGAAGTGGCTCCTATGTGTCTTCATTCATTTCTTGACTGTCTGTCCGAGCAATCTTTCGTGGAGGGGCAGATGTCTCCCCTATTTCTAACTGGTCTTGGTCTCTTTTCTTTGCAGCATTCTATAAAAAAGAAAAAGTGTACAGTAAATGAACAAGCACATTGTTTTATCCCGTATCCAGCAAAAAGAACACAAGACTGAAGACTGCTAAACTACTCCATGAGCACTGGCTTGTATGTAGTTTACAGAAAATGTACATAGGGAACCCTAGGGGCCCAATTATAAGTGTATTGGCGGCACTGGAAACAGTAGTTCTCACTTACTTTAGATGACAGTCATCTGAAGGTTGAACACTTGTGATCGTCTGCATAAACAGCTATTAACGTCCATGGTTAGGGGTTATGGCCTAAAAACCTCTTGCCCCATCACTGAGGCACAGGAAGCAAGAAGGGGCAAGCCTAAAATCAGCAACCTGGAAGATGGTCACTGCGACACACATCAATCTTGGCTTAGGGCATGGGTAGCCAAACTCTGGTCCTCCAGCTGTGGTGAAACTACAAATCCCATGATGCATCTCTCTCCGGGAGTCATGTGTGTGGCCGTGAGAATCTTGCAATGCCTCATAGGATTTGTAGTTCCACCACAGCTGGAGGGCCAGAGTTTGGCTAACCTGGTTTAGGGATTCCTAGTGGGCACTACAGAAAATTACAGGCTTTTGAAGAAAATAAATCCTTATATTACCTTTGTTATCCAGAAAGAGCTCATTTGTGCCCCTCTACATTAGTTCACCTTTGGGGCTTGATGTCATTTAGGTGCCACCAGCTGTCATTCCATTCCACTGACTTATTGGTCAGCGTCGTAGCTAGTATTGAACGGACTGGACCAAAATGATAGCAAGGCAACTAAAATGCTCAAGTAGGAGAGATCAATAATGGTAGTCTCTGTATAGTTACTACTGGGGTCCTTTAACCTCCCTGGTGGTCTGATTATGTCAGGATTTTAGAATGCCAAAGCGGTACATTGTTTTGCATGGAAATTTGTTGTTTTATATTGTAGGCCTGTAATTCTTAGGAATAACTCACTTAATTCTGTCCAAACAAGAGTCTAGTAGACATCCCGGGCATGTTAAAGTTTGAAACACAAAATCATAAATGATAAAAATAATTATAAAAAATCCTATAATAAATGTAATTCAAAATGTAATCAAACTAAAAACACTGACATTTGTCCAAACAAGGGTGCAATATTACTAGTCACTGCATATTGGTTTAGTAAACATCCCGGGTATGAAAAATCGCAGAATCGTCGCTGTAGTCACTCAGTGTCTGATGACGAATTTCCCCACAAATCGCTATCACTCAATTCTGCAAGTGATTCTAATTTACTATCGCTGTTTTCTAGCAGCACAAAAACAGCTTTTGACCTAAAGATGCTTTTTGGATGCCATGGACGTTCGCAAGTTTCCAGGCAGAAAGAATGGTAAAAGTGCAGGCAGGGCACTGGACAAAGCTCTAGGGACAAAACTGAGGTGAAATGGTTTGATACAGTAATGTAATCATAACCGATTACAAAGTATTGTGTGTATGTCATGTTTTCACTTTTGAAATTCCTGCCGGTTCCGCTCCCCTGCGAAGAACCCGGAAGACGGATGCCGGCATCGGCGGGAGGACACAGTGGGGCTCGTAGGGACAAGGTAAGTGACACTGCAGTGTGGCTTAATACCGGGGTTACCACTTTTGGTACTGAAAATTATACCCGAGCCACACTCGGGATTACCGCCAGGGAGGTTAAGCTAGTTCTGGTAAAAAATGTAAAATCTCAAAAGAGCATTAAAAGCACATTTCCAATTAAAAGGGACTGCAAAAAAATGAGGAGAGACAATTTTTACATCCATGATCACACAAAAAAAAAAAAACATTATTCAAAACATAAAAAGGAATGAAAGAAATCCTTACCTTTTTGTCCCACTGTTGGTGAAGGTAACGCAAGAGTATATTTGTTTTTTCTGTTACTATGACTGGAAAACAAAGAAACAATGGAGATAAATGAATACGCTAATACCTTAAAATAAAGTGAAGCGATAACACGGTAAAACAGGTTACACTTACTTTGGTCTGAAGGGTATTCTCTTGTGGGGAGGTAAACTGAGGGCCGTCTGTTCTGTAATACAATTCATCAAAAAAACAACATTTTATACAGCAAACCAGCATTATCCTTTAATTACTCCTAAGTTCACTGTCAGAATCTCATACCATTGTGAGAAGTTCAAAAATTGCTAGCCCCATTAAATAAATATCCTTTCTCCGGTGACCAGTCATTCTCAAGGACAGGAGGCTACACTAGGCAGTACAACACAGGGGTGTGGAAATTTTGGAAAAAACTACTTGTCCAAGGGCTAAAGCGGGGGCCAAATCTACTTGTCCTTCATAACAATCTACTTGTCCCAATACAAAAAAAATATAGTTTGAATTAAAACTAGAAATGCACCAATACCGCTTTTTGGGTATAGGGTACGAGTACCGATATTTTGCTTTCGGTACTCACCGAGTATCGGTGCTTCCGTTTGCATGGAGCAGGCTTCCAGGGCAATCAGGAAGCTGGGCAGCGGGTAATGAGATCCTACCCAGCTTCCTGACTGCCAGGGAAGCCGACTCCATGTTGTTTGGCCGGCTTGATTGTGAATGGCTCGGAAGCCGGTTTCCTGGCCAATCAGCATCGAGCCAGCTTCCTGCCCAATCAGGAAACCGGGCGGTAACATTGGAGGCGAGGAGATCGAGGGGGGGATACGATTTCCATGTACAAAATGTTCAATAGTGGTGACATTAGCGATAAACTGTTTAAAATTAATTCCATTGCAAAAACTAGAGGCCACCACCTAAAATTGGTGGAAAAAAAATTCCAGCACAAGGGGCGAAGAGGGTTCTTCACAGTAAAATCAGTTAGGGTCCGGAACTCACTGCCACAGGCGGTGATTTCAGCAAATAATGTGGAATTGTTCAAGAAACTTCTGGACGATTTCTTAAGGGACCGTAATAGACAGGGGTACAGGTACTCCTAGAATGAGATCCCAATAGGTTGGACTTCATGGACTAACGTCTTTATTCAACCTCAAATACTATGTAACAAGTACTTGCCCAAATACTCTGTATCTGTGCATTCCTAAATCAAAACTGTATTGGTCTGTGCTAAATAGCGCTTCTCATTGGTCAGCGGTCACCAGACCACGCTGACCAATGAGTGCATGCAATTTGCGAGCGAAATTCAAAATGCATAGGGCAGGACTGCGCTGGACAGTACGGGGTGAGGACAGTACACCTGTACCGGCGGAGGGTAAGGACTGTTTGCCGAAAGGCAAGTATAGCCGGGGGACACACAATGTCCTATGTGTGCGTTTATTTGCATACAGATGGCGGGGTTCGTTTTCATTTTTTACATTGTCACTTTTTTTTAAAAAATCTGTTTAATTTTTTTTACTTTTTTATAACTTTTTTTATTATTTTTTACTCCCCCCCCCCCCCCCCACCTAATTTTATTCCTATCACATAGGGATTTAAAATCCTCTATAGCAGTGATGGTGAACCTTTTTGAGCCAGAGTTGCCCAAACTGGATCACTAAACCAACTTATGTATCTCAAAGTGCCAACCCTTCAATTAGACCTGAATACTGGTGGTCTGTACGGGCTCTCAGGGGGCTGTGCGGCTCTCAAGTGGGCTCTGTGGGGTTTTTGGTGGTCTGTACAGCTCTCAGGTGGGCTCTGTGGGGTTTCTGGTGGTCTGTACAGGCTCTCAGACGGTCTATTATGGCTTTTGGGTGGGCTCTGTTGTCCCTCTGGTGGTATGTATGGGCTCTCTGGGGGGCTGTAAGGGTTTTCAGGTGGGCTCTCAGGTGGTCTGTTTGGGCTCTCTGGGGGGCTGTGCGGCTCTCAGGGGGGGCAGTGTGGCTCTCGGGTGGTCTATAAGGGCTTTCAGGTGGTTTATATGGGCTCTCTGTGGGGCTATTCTGCATTGCTGTATAATTATCATACAGCAATGCAGAATACCACCAGCTATGCGGGATTACAAGTCCCAGCAATACATTATAATGAAAGTCAGCACTACACAGCAGGAGCATAACTAGAAACCTAGTCTTCCCCGCAGCAATAATAATTTATTATTGCTGCGTGGAAGGGGGGCAATTATTATCGCTGCCTGGGGGAGAATTGTTTTTAGGCAGGAGTTAATTTAAAAAAAAACCCCATGCAGCAATAATAATCACCCCCTTACCCGCAGCAATAATAAATTATCCTTGGGGTAGATTAATACTGCAGCCGGGACAGAAATGACTGTTATTACCGTATTTGACAGCGTATAAGACAACCCCCCACTTTTTGTGTAAAAAATATAGGTTTTGGGCTATACTTGTCATATAAGAAGAGTATAGCCCAAAATAATATTGAAATGCACCCACTAACATCCATGGCGGTATTCCCGATTGTGGCTCGGGGTTAATTTTCAGTACCATAAGCAGTAACCCCGAGCCACAAAATCGGGAATACAGTCTCTTACCTTGTCCACGATCCCCGCTGTGTCCTCCGTCTTCCGCTGAGTCAATCACGGCAGGCTTTCTATTCATTAATACAGGCTTTGAATACTTAAATTGTCGGCTGCCGCAGCTCACCGTGTTCCTCCGCGGCAGCCGAAAATGGTAAAATAGTCACCTATCGCTGCGTCCCTTTGGTAATGCGGACCTGGGCTCGCGTGCCAGCAGAGGGGGCCCCACGTGCCCACTCTGGCACGCGTGCCATAGGTTCGCCACCGCTGCTCTATAGGATAGTTTTTCGTCTGCTCTGCGGGCTCTATGGTGAGCTCAGGTTCCGTGGTCTCGGGTCCGCCAGAGGAGCGGTGGACCCCGAAAACCACGGGCGGGTGGGACAGAATCGTCGCATCTCGTTTCATACAAGTGATCAGATCACTTGAAAACGAGCGGCGGCTCCACACTGTACACTTAGCTCTGCTTGTCCGGAGCGGGGCTAAGTGTACAAAAAAACTACTCGCCCGGCGCCCGAAACTGCATGTCCCGGGCCTCGGGCGATAGGAATTCCACACCCCAGTATATGTACTACTCCGCATGGGAAATCCATTCAGAAACCAACAAGCTGCTACATACTGGACTCCCAATATTGCTCACCTAAAGATTATGCAGCAAATATATGCTTTTCTGAGATTTTTTCAATAAACACTATCTTAATTATTTTGCAGAAAGCACATTTGGGCGCCTGTAAGTGCAACTCACTTTGAGTCTGTGTTACAAAATATCCATGCAGGAGGCACAAAGCACTACCTCCTACACAAAGTCAATAGTGACTTTAATCATGAATTTACAGAACATGGTTGAAATGTGGTTTCACAGTCAAAACATGCATTTGGGCTTGTGTCAACGGCATTAGTTTGACATCAGCTGAGAGGCTGCTGAGACCATTTAGAATTCATTAACTAGACATGAGTCGACCACCTTCTCACCTGCTTTAAATGGGTTTTGCATTTCAATAGAGTTGTATTGGAATGCAGGACAAATCTGATGCCAACAAATGCCCATCAACACCGGTCCGTGGCCTTCCGGTGGGTGGCTACTTTTGTTCCCCATGGTCCCTGTGTGTGTTGTAAAGTAGCCTCCACTCCAAGCTCAATCCTGTGATGGACTACCATCTCACCTTTAGTTTACTAACTTCTATTGAGATTGTAGTCCATCGTGGGAGTGAGCTTGGAGCGATGGCTACTTTATAACACACACAGGGATCACGGGGAACAAACGTAGACACCCTCCAGAAGGAAGGACAGTGTCAGCACCAATTCAGAGATGATTTGAGGATCTACAGCTGAATGACACAGAAATAAGATACATATTTATTAATAGTTATGATACTTGAATGTATTTTTAAGATGTAGTTCCTGAGTTTAGTGTCACTTCAAAGGAAACAGCAGTTGAGCCAGGAAAATAAATACATGACATTGGTGGACGGACCTCAAGAATCTTGGCAGCAGGTCTACAAAGATAACAAAAGACGAAACGGCAAAGAGAAGACCACAATCCTGGGTCTCGTTTGGAACAGTGGGAAGTTATTCTATAAGCTTCAGCAGAAAGTGAATCTAATAAGCGGCTCAGAGAAACACGGTCTTTTCTTTCCCCAGCTTACATACTCGAGGCACAGCATGTAAAAAACAGGCTCTAAAAGCGGTATTATTTCTTCATACAAAAGCATTGTATTCTTGAATTTCAAACAAGTTAAATAGTCACAAAAGATTTGCCGACAGTGAATAATGATCTTGGAGCAAAATCTTTTTTGGAATTAAAGCATGCCTGGGTAAAATAAAAACTCAGTACATCTCTGCAATACATGCACATTTGCCCATACTTTGTCTCTTTAAAATGCTGCAACTACAGAAAAATGATCTGCCAGAAATCCAGTGTGTTTCTAACCTCCTAATTGAGCTGCGTCTCTATGGTACTGAAATGCTAAGCAATGCTGTCAGCCTTGTCCGAGTTTTCCTCTACTGGACTACAAAACAGCCCGCCTTCTCCTCATTCCTTTTACATATGCTGTAGTGCAAGTAGAGAAGTCAGTGAGGGCTGACAACATTGCCTAGGATTTCAGTGCAGTAGGGACACCGTGTTGTCGGGTCAATCAGTAAGTTAGGAACACACTGGATTTCTGGCAGATCAACATGCTTTTTCCTTATATACAACATTTCATAAGAGCCAAAATGGTGTATTCAGGGGTGTGGAAATTTTTGTAAAAAAACTACTTGTCCAAGTGCTGAAGCGGGGCCGAATCTACTTGTCCCAATACCAAACAAATTGTTTTAATCAAAACTAGGGATGCATCGATATCGGTGTTTTCGGTATCGAGTATCGATTTTTGCTTTCGGTACTCGCCAATACCAATGCCGATGCTTCTGCTGGCATGGAGCAGGCTTCCCTGGTAATCAGGAAGCTGGGCAGCGGGTAACGACATGCTGCCCGGCTTCCTGATTGCCAGGGAAGCCGGCTCCATGTTGATTTGTCTGTGATTGGCTGGGAAACCAGCTCCCCAGCCAATCATCATCGAGCTGGCTTCCCGGCCAATCAGGAAGCCAGGTGGCAAGTTACGACCTGATTGGCCAGGAAGCCAGCTTTCCAGCCAATCAGCAAGGAGCCGGTTTAGGAAACCAGGAGGCGGGTCATTACTTGCCGCACAGCTTCCTGATTGCACGGGAAGCCGGCTCTATGTTCCCCTATGGCACTGCCAGTCAGAGATAATTTTCCTCTGGCCGTGAATCCCAGTATCGTGGAAGGTATCGGAGCATTTAGGCAAGTACAAGTACTTGCCCAAATACTCGGTATCGGCACTGATACTAGTATCGGTGCATCCCTAATCAAGATAGTACACCTGTAGTGGCGGAGGGGAGGGACACTGTTCGCCGAAAGGTAAGTATAGCAGGGGGAGTTGGGAGAGACAGATTTGATCGGGTAATTCCATTTTCCCATATTATCTGGGAAATTGAACTTGCCCTTTAATGCACATTGTATGTGTGTATAAGAGAGTTTTGCTGCCTGGCTACCATAATGGAATGGTGGCAGCACTCAACGCACATGCACAATTCCCTATGTGTGCGTTTATTTGCATGCAGATGGCAGGGTTTGGTTTTAATTTTTTACTTTATCACTTTTTTTTGGAAATTTTTATATATTAATTTTGGAAATTTTTATATATTCTTTTTTACTTTTTTTCCACTTAATTTTTTTCCTATCACATAGGGTATTACAAGCCCCTCTATGACAGTTTGGAGGTGACAGGTTCTCTTTATGGAACCTGCCCTCCAACGCAGAACAGGTGTTCTGTGCAGTTCCTGGACAGCTGAGACAGGTGGCGCTGTGATTACAGCGCTCCGGTCTCAGTGATTACACAGAGCAGACGAAGAACGGACGTTCTTCGTCTGCTCTACACTCTCTATGGCTGAGCCGTTGTGTCGTGGTCTCGGGTTCCCAAGAAGAGCGGGGGACGAACGCGATCGCCGATGCTTTTTGGATAGAAGTGATCCGATCAGATAACTTGTACTAAACGAGCGGCGGCTCCCCACTGTACATTTAGCTCTGCTTGTCCGAAGCAGGGCTACATTTAGAAAAAAAAACAACTACTGGCCCGCCACCCAAAACTGCATGTCCCGGGCGTTGGGCGATAATAATTCCACACCCCTGTGTATGTATAGCAAAGATGTACAGTTTTTTTGTTTCCAGACACGTTAACCTCTTGCCGTCCGCCCGTAGTAAAAAAACGGACGGACGGCACTGCAGCATCTGCGGATATCAATGCTTTGGTCAACACTCAAAGCTCATCACATTGTTTAAAAAAAAAAAAAAAGACTCCATTAAAATCACACACACAAGGCATTGTGAAACATTGGAAACAGAAGGGGAAAAAAAAGGCGCTCACCTCTCTCCCACTCCAACTATGGAATGTCTTTCAGTGTCCTCACATCTAATATAAGTCAATGGACCTGCATAAGGTGTGATGACGTCAGCAGTCCTTAGACCGCCGCAGTCCAGAGGAGGAAAAAAGGCTGCGGGACTTGTCTAACAGCTCAGAGAAAGCCAGCAGGACAGAGTCAGGTGAGTAATACGGCTTGTAAGCACTCCAGATTATGCCTAAACGCTTACATTGACACCATCAGTGGCTCCAGGTTACCATGGTGCACCATAAACTAGTGATACACCGATGCTTTTCAGTGCAGATACTTGGCATTTTCATGAGAACTACCAGGGTTGCAGCGGTTGCAGCTGGGACCTGGCTCTGGTGCTCCACCACTGTCCTGAAATCATTAGTCTGTATTGTTTTAGAAAAACTGTCACATGACAATAAACAAAAATGTATCAGTACTTGTATCTGTGAGTACTTGTACAAGTATCAGTACTTGTACTCGCAAAACTGGTATCGGTGCATCCCTTTATTTATAAAAACAAAATCATACAAATCCCAGAGCTCTGTGTGCTCCTTACAAATGACAGCTGCATCCTAACTTTTACATTTTTCTCTATTCTAGTCTTGTACTTGTACCGAGTACGGTACTTGGTATCGGTGCATCCCTACCATAAACTACATCACATATCACCTAAGAAGTGTGTTTATGTTTAAAAGTAAACCTTTCCTAAGTGAAATATGGGGGCTGCAACTGCTGACCTGATTTTTGACATGCTACTTGTCTAGCTGTAATTGACCATATGGCATCAAAAGTTTAAAGGACAACTTTACATTTGTTGTCTATTTTCACCCTCTGGAGTGCTGTTAACTAGGTGTTATACTTGCCCTTAGACCTGGTCCAGGTCTCTTCGATAGAATTGATGGGGCCATGGCATGCAGATTACGAAATGGCCATTTTTAAAGATTGGCTGTGTGACTGAATGGGGCAACACAAAAAAAGATTGCTTGATTGGGACTGAAGTCAAGTGTAACAGCTAGTGGGAGCAACCAAGTAAAAAGTACAGTTGTCCTTTGAGTCACTAAAGTGCATATCAGGAAAGTCAGAAATTCTGACTTTCCTGATATGCAATTCTGGGTTAGTGACAAGTATTGAAGCAAGATGCTCAATATGACAGCAGCCCAGCAAGCATTTGCAGAATGAAAAGTCAGCAACCAACAGCCTCCATGCATCTCAAGAAAGGTTTCCTTTCACCTACGTTGGTGGACTTTTCTGGCCAATAACAGCCTGACTCTTTGATATTGCCTGTCGCGTATTAAACTCTGAGTGGCAAATATGTCCACTGTGAACATGCAAATTCCAAGAATGGATCTAAAAGGCAGTCTTTTTTTTAAAGGAGATACTTACTGAGGCTTTGCACACAGAGTCTGCATGAAATCGGCTGAAGTTGCTCTCATTGTACACTGGTAAGCCTTTCAGAAAATCCGCCTGCGGAACAAAAAGAAGAAAAGATGACTGATTTGCTGACAGCAATATTCACAGTGAGTTCAACTAAAAAAAGAAAAGTAGATATTCTTCCCTAAGTTCCAGAGTCTCAGTCTGGACATGTACTTGTATGATTTCAGCAAGAAAAAAAGATAAGGCAATCCAAAATGTTCCTTCTCAAGACCAAATAGCATCTGTCAGCAGGGGTGCAAAGAAGCCCAGAAGGAGATGTCTATTATTAGGGGGCAAGAGGCAGCAGGTAGACATCTCTCAGCAGGGGGCAGGTTTCTTTTAATGGGTAATGTGAGGCAGTCTGGAGTGAGCAGGCTCTCAGCAGGGGAATGAGGTGGCATCAAGGATGCCTGTGGGGGTCTCAGACATCTGGCGGGAGCCTGTCAGGGGGGAGCCACCATCCAACCAGATTGCTCCCCCAAAAGGCACCATCCCATTTCATGTCATTACTCCTGCCACCTCCTCTCGTATCTCTTCCTGCAGCTTTACAACACTGGCCAGCTCACCTGGGAAAAGGCTGACAGCTCTCATCATACCTCTGCTGCCCGCAGCTCCCCTCCTATAGATACCCAAATCTGCTCCGTCTCAATAACCTGTAGGCTCAGATCCTTGCATCTTACAGACCCCTCAATTGCACATGCTCCTTTTCAAGTTAGCTCATCAAACTCATTCAGCACACACTGATCTCTGGAGCGGACACATTGTGCTGATTGACTATCCCCAGCTCCCTGTGATCATTCTCCTGCTGAGGGAAACCTGCTGAAGAGCTCAAGGACTGATTAGGGTTAGACCCCTGACCATCAATAGATGTATCTCAGTGGGATTGATCGTGGGACATATTTGTATGGCCTCTTTGCTTTTAAAATGACTACAAGTGTTATTTGTTTCCTTTGTCAATCACAGGCTATGCCCAGTGTATATAAATTTAGGAGGTGAACTCTTTGCCATACATCATAAGACAATTAAGACTCAATTTATTACCATCTAGCCTATCAGACAACATAATTCTGTATAGGTAGCTTCAAAAGGTCATTTCAGAGACCATTAAAAATCAACTATTTGACTGTGCCCTGCTGTGTAATAATATGAAAGCATTTCCCATGCCTACTAACGGGTAGTGAGAGATACCCCCGCCACTCTGCTTATCACAATGCTACCAGTGAAAAGTAAGGTCTGATTAAGAACTGTCTATAGATGTACTGCAAAAGAAGATTGCACCAGCAGGTGGCACTGCTAGAGAGAAACTGAAACTGCAGCTATCTGTCCTTAGAAAGCCCACAATTGGGGACCCCTATATAACCACATCTATTGATTTCTAGACAAATGAAATGTGCTACTTCTTGAAAGGAAAATACATTGTACATAAGTCTAACAGCATTTAATGCAAGATCTTGCTCACAGTACAAAGAATAAAAGGAAAAGAAAAAAAATATAGTAAACAACTGCGCCTAATCTAGTATGCAAAAAAAAAAAAAATTGAAACTAAATGGAAAGAGAAAAAAAAAAAAACAATGAAAAAAAGGTGGATAATCTAAACGAAGGAGACATTTAGCAAAACTAGAAGCAAAAATAGTACTATGCACAATAAAAACACATTTGCACTAAAAGTTAATTTTTTAGGACAGGCTTAGGGTGGTCTACCCCTTCTCCTACCACCAAAAAGCACTGATACATGAGGGTTTAGAAAAACTCAGAAATTCTGCAGAAGCACCAGCAGCATCAAGTGTAAGCTGAGGCCACATATAATGTAGTTAAATAAAAAAAAAAAAAACTTTGATTTAAAACCTCTCTGCTTAATCTTACAAATAATGAAATGGGTAGTGCAGCCTTACATTTTTCCCAATTTTGTTTCATTACCACCTGGAATTAAAATGGAATTTTTGGGGTTTAGTATTTGATTTACATAACATGTCTATTACTTTGAAGATGCAAAATATTATATGTTATTATGACTAGGGCTGCAACTAATTATTTTCATAAATCGATTAGTTGGCCGATTCTTTTTTCGATCGGAAAAAAAAAAACATCCTTAATTTAAAATAAAATAGACAAACGCAGTGTAACAAAGTTTACTTCAGGATAAAGCTGCATGCACAATTTTCTTGCAATCACACTGCACTGGAACGCACGGCATTGCGGTACCACACGTCCCAGTGCAGATGATCACACTGCGGGTAGGAAGTGCATTTGGGGTGCCATTGAAAGCACATGGCACTTTATTAGCTTCAGCCAGGGAATGACAGCTGCCAGTGGCAAGATTCCACAGCAGCTGAATGTAAACACAGCAGGTAGTGGGCTGGTGCGGTAGCCAGCCTGTTATTGGCCATTTCAAATTGCAATAGCAGGCTGGTTATTGCACCCGCCCACTGCTTACTGAGCCCTCCGATCAGAGAGGACAGAGCTGATGAAATGCCGTCTCCCAGCATGGAGGAGGGAACTAGGGGATCCAACCAACTAATCGATATTGAACATAGTTGACAACTATTCTCATTATTGATTAATCGATTCGTTGGTTGCAGCCCTAATTGTGATACAAGCAAGAAATAAGACAAAAAAAATAAACAGAACCCTTGAGTGTACAGGGGTGCGGAAATTAAAAAAAAAAAAAAAAAGGACTTGTTTAAAGGACTAAAGCAGGGTCTCAATCTACTTGTAATTTTTACCAAAATCATATTAGGCCATGCTTAGTAGCTCTTCTCATTGGTCAGCGCAGTCAGATGACCGTGCTGTCCAATGAGCGTTTGCAATTTGCAAGTGAAATTCAAAATCCATAGCACAGGGCTGCACAGGGCGTCAGTATGGGGTACAGATCGTACACCCGTACCAGCAGATGGGAAGGACCGTTTGGCGAGGAGTATCTGTATAGCAGGGGGGAGAAGGGGCCAGATTTAAGCGGGTAATTCCATTTTCCAAAATTACTTTGGAAAGTGAACTTACCCTTAAATGCACATTGTGTGTGTTAGAGAGTGCTGCTACCCAGCTACCACAATATGGCACATAGTGGGAAGGGGGCAGCAATCAGTGCACACACACACTGCCCTATGAGTGCATTTATTCACATGTAGATGGCAGGGACAGCGTGGTTTATTATTTATTTTATATTTATTACATTTTTTACTTTATCACTTTCATAGCGGAGGGTTACTTCATATGCACGCACCACTTAAGTTTATTTTTTAAAAGGTTATTTTCTTGATTCCACTTTCCACCATTGTGGACTATTGTGTATGTCCATTACATGTAATACAAATAAAAATAAATGTTTCAATTCCATGTGGTAATACAACAAAATAGGAAAAATGAATATTTTTGCAATCCACTGTAAAAAGGTAAGGGCATAATTCCAGATGTGCTTACCAGTCTACCTGCAAGGCTAATGCCACACCTGCAATCCTGACAAGTCAGAATTTACCAGCAACTGGATCGCAATAAACTCAGAGAACCCATACCAGCTTTTTATGTGTCACTCCCTCACTGGGAGGGATTAAAGTCTCACTGCAGAAAATGTTTCACAATGTACGTTGTCAGCGAAAGAGAAACTTTGCTCCTTTGGGCCAGAATGCAGGAACAAGCCAGAACTAGATATAAACCAGAAGTCTAAGGCACCATTCACACTGAGCGACATGAAAATTGCGCGATTTTATATGTGCGATATTGCGCGACTTTTTCCTATTGGGCTGTATGCAATCAGGAGCAAAATTGCTCCAAATCCGCAGAAAAAAAGGGTCATGTAGGAGCGACAAGCTACAGCGACGAGCTACAAGCGATATTGAGCGGGGAGATGTGAACAGCTCCATTGAAATGGATTGGAGAAGCTACAAAGAGCGATATCGCGTGGAAATATGAGCGATATCGCTGCAAAAATCGCTCAGTGTGAATGGGGCCTAAAGCTGCACTTACACCTATAGATGATCTGCAGGTTTTCTATGGTCAGATGGAAAAAGTGCAACAGATTCCTCCATCTATGCTAAACTGTGTGGATGGAGGAATCTCCCGATGGGCCAAGCTTCAGTATCTTGTTAGTCGGTCCCTCTGGCTCTCAGAATACCTGAGCAATCTGATTGGATGCAGGCATTGTTCAGGTATTTTGAGAGCCAGCAGGGCCGACTAGCAAGATACTGAAGCTTGGCCCATCGGGAGATTCCTCCATCCACACAGTTTATCATAGATGGAGGAATCTGTTGCACTTTTTCCATCTGACCACAGAAAATCTGCAGATAATCTATAGGTGTATGGCCAGCTTTAAAGACCAGTGGGTAACCAATAAAAAAAATGATGGCCATGAAAATTAAATCTTGCCTGGTACTTGCAGTTACTAGGGTTGCACAGATACTTTTCGAGTACCAGTGCAGATACTTGGCATTTTCATGAGAACTACCAGGGTTGCAGCGGTTGCAGCTGGGACCTGGCTCTGGCGCTCCACCACTGCCCTGAAATCATTAGTCTGTATTGTTTTAGAAAAACTGTCACATGACAATAAACAAAAATGTATCAGTACTTGTACTTGTAAGTACTCGGCAAGTACCAGTACTCGTACTCGCAAATCTGGTATCTGTGCATCCCTTTATTTATATTTATAAAAACAAAATCGTACAATAAAACAGAGATGTACCAATCCCAGGCGCTCTGTGTGCTCCTTACACGACAGCGGTCTCCTAATTTTTGAATTTTGTCTCTAGTGTAGTCTTGGAGCTCAAAAGGTATCGGTACATGTACTCGTACCGAGTACTGTACTTGGTATCTGTGCAACCCTAGCAGTTACCATCCAAAATATAACAATTTATCAGGGGGAAGCTTCAGGATGCTTTTATTTCTTACTGTGTAAGAGTTGGAAGACTAAAAAGGTGGCCCATACACCTTACAATTTTTGATCGGAAATCTTTGTTGCTGCCATTTTAGCGCAAATAGCCCATAATGCACAGACCAATGTCGATTCTAATTCTTGTTCGTTAGTAATACTAACTCAACGAATTTCGTCGATCGCCAGAATGCACTTTTGTTGTGCATGTGCAGTAGTGCAGTGTTTTTATTGCAATTTTCTTCATACGAAAACGCCACTAATCCATCGATTTTCGTCCGCTTTGAAAAAAGTTTTCCAGCCTGACTGATCGAGGAAATTTGTCCAAGAGTACAGTAATTGTGATCGTTTGCTTCCCATCAACTAACCAATTATCATACGAATACCCGATCGCGTTTGTTTTCCAAACGATAATCGTAGGGTGTATGGGCACCTTTACAACGAAACCTTGGAAACCAGTTTCATGTTCAACTTAGATGAGGTGTCTGCTAAGATTACAGTTTAATGGTCATACAAAAAAAAAATTCCAGAAACTACCCTTTGTATCACCAAATGATTTGTGCAAGATTATTACCCAATTTGGACATTAAACTTGTGTTCAAGGCAGTCCCAGACAGTAATGTATATACATTAAAGGCCTGCAAGGAGCATCATAAGAGCCAGTTATATGACTTATTTAGCAGGCTGTGCCTTGAATGCAGGATCACCTTAGCTTGCGTATGTCGCACTACATTTTGACAACATTAATGTCATATTGGGGCAATGTGCTAAAAACTGGTAAACTGAGCAGTGAAAATATTCTTGCCAGAACATGAGCAGATAACCCTTTTAACCACTTGCTGACCGGGGTGTTGTACCCCCTTCCTGCCCAGGCCATTTTTCAGTAATTAGCGCTGCGGTACTTTGACTTTCAGATATGGAGGAGCATATGCCCTGCTCCCCCATGACTCTATGTCCAATCTCCGTTATTCGAAGGGAGTCGTGATGTGATGCCCCCACCTGCCCAACCACTGGTTCGGTAATACAGCCTATCTCGGTGCTGGCTGCAGAGGAGCAGGCAGCTGAAAGGGTGCGCTTATAAGATGAGTAAAAAGGGGGAGGGGATGCCCTTTCCAGCGACACTGTCACCTTGTCCTGCATGGGCAAAGTGATAGGGTCTCTTTAACCACTTGCTGACCGGGGTGTTAAACCCCCTTCCTGTCCAGGCCATTTTTCAGTATTCAGCGCTGCAGTACTTTGACTGACATTTATTCCGTCATGCAACGCTGTACTGCAATGAATTTTATACCATTTTTTGGGGACAGATAGAGCTTTGTTTTGGTGGTATTTAATCACCACTGCGTGTTTTTCGTTTTGAAACATCACCCCAATTTTTTTGTAAAATGTAAAAGTCGGGGTCACGTCGGGTAAATAGACCCCAAACATGTCAAGCCTTAAAATTGAGCGCACCAGCAAAATCGCAGAAAACTACAATACCCAAAATTTAACACAGACGACACTTTAAAAGATTTTACCCCTCATTAGTTTAGTGTTATCAGTACTTAATGGCCCTAAAATTATTGCTTTCACTCAGACATTCGCGGCGATATGTAACATGTGCGCCACAATGGGCGGAATCGTCGTTTTCAACGCATGTTTTCGTGTGTATGTGGGGAGCGGGGGACTAAAATAATTGTGTTATTTTACTTATTTTTTTTAAGCTTGTTTATTTTACTTTTTTTGCTTTAATTTTTTTTAAACTTTTTTTTTTACACTTAACTTTATAGCCATCACATAGGGGACTAAGAAATCCCTATGTGATAGCAAATTCACATAACAGGTCCTCTTTATGGAGACAACGGGGGTCTGTTCAGCAGTTTCTGCTGAACAGATCTGCTTCAGCAGTTTCTCACCGGCTTCTGTAACCGGAGAGTGACACTGAATGCAGGAAGTGATGTAATATACCGCTGCAGGAACCCAGTGGATCTCGGGTCCGGCAGCGGCGGTGACGACGATGTCGGTGGTACAAGTGATCGTGCGTGTCTAGAGACGCCCAATCACTTGAATGTAACCAGCCATCACTGGCTGTTTACATTTCTGTCAGTTTCCCCACTCGTGTGTGCGCTGAGCGTCGCACACGAGCAGGGGAGGGGAAGGACGTCTTAAGATGCCATCCTGCTCCTATAAGGCTCCCGTCCAGCCGTTCAGGAACGGCCATGGTCGGGAGGTGGTTAAAGCTGACCACTTCTGAAGCGGTTTTACCTGCCAAAGAATTTGGCTTTCTGTCTATCCAGTCTAGATGTTTAAAATCCTGCCAGGCTGGTAACCCGATTTTTTGAGTTTTTACTGCAGTGACATTAAAATGAGAACTATGGGGTAAGTGAGTTACACTCATCCTCATAGCTAGAGCTGAAGTGCGACATTGAAACTGTCACACGTCGGCTCTATCGGGAAGAGAGCGAAAATATATACCACCGATCATCTCCCTGCAGAGAGCGGTGACCGTCAGTCACCACTCCCCGCAAGGATTCCCCCCTCCCCTCTCTGATCTTCCAGTCCTGACTGAAAGGACAAACAGGGAGGGGAGTGGGCATAGCTTTCTCTACCTGTAGATTGACAGCGGCCTCTCCCTATCAGCCACCTGGGTGGGTGGCTCTCAACAGTATCATCGGGATCCGTCCCGGCTGCAGAGCTGTCAGCATATAGCGGGCAATAGCCCACTATATGCTGAGTTTTGGATCATGTGAGGACGTTAGTATATGTTCTCCTT